AATTTTCGAGAATAGCGATTTGAGAACAAGAGAGAGAGAGTGAGAGTGAGAGAGTTATTTATATATATATATATATATGTACGCCTTTTATATTCATAACATTAATCGTAACAAGAGTAGGTACGCGTTGCACCTTTCCGGATTGTTACATGGTTTCTGATAACCGCGGTCGCGCAACCGCGATAGAGAAACTGGTACTTGGCTCCATCGAAATGTCATAATCGCGCAAAAAGAAGCCACGAAGCTCTCTGCGTCACCGTCGTCGATGATTCGAGGCTACTTGATGTCTAGCGTTAATTCTTTCCCCAGAAACACACATACTCGGGCGCGAGCTTACAGACGTCCGTCGAAACTCCGTTCGCACCACGCAAAACGCAGGAACCCATCATGTAGGACCATGCGCTCGAATTATACTTACACTCCTTATCCAATCAAACAGCTAATTACGAGATTACCGAGCGATGCGTTTCAACGCAACTACGATCCGTACGTATGTGTATATATATATATCTATATATATATATATATATTTGTTTATTTATATCTTTTTACCGTTTTATGCATACGTATATGTATATTTACTGAATACAGTTCCCTTGTCTTTCTCGTGATATGACGGAAACGTAACATTACGCAACACAAAACCGTCAATGAAGAAAGCACGTTAACGTCCCTCGATTTTTTTCCAAAAGGAAACAATTAATTAGCGCCTAATAGTTATTGAACGGTTTAGCGAATTACGGCGAATGTACATGACGTTTCGTTTCGCATGGCGGCGTGGCGTATATCGGAATCCGATGAATATGAGTGAAAAATGTATCGGGAGCAATAGTTACGGAAATAGCGGCGTTTGAAGAATGTTACATTAAATACGCGGCCAATCGTGAATCGAGATATTTTTGGGGGGAGGAGGGTCGCGCGTTACGAGGGAGATGTTTATGGAGGTCGAACGCCGGAACGAATCCGTGCAAGGTTTCACCATTGTGTGATTCCGAATTATCAAGTTTCGCTAAAATCTAACGCTCCGCTTCGAGTAGAATAGAAAAAGAAGAGGCGAACACGACCTCCCGCCGCCGTCGGGGCGGGGCCGTTCTCAGTCCTCGAGATGTCCCGAATTTCCAGCCGAGGAGTTCTCGGTTTCCTCGCCGCGGACTAAGTGTATTCCCAATCCCCGAAGCTATTCAGCGCGGGATCACCTGGTGGAAGGACATCGCGGGTGACGGGTTTCTCTCTCAATGTATGCGCCGCAGCATTTCTCCTTGACGTTTCCGTTCAAGAGAGATCGTCGAGACGGTCGCGGAACGGGAAGCTTGTCCGTATATAAGGGGGTACCGAGTCGCGCGCTATATATTCTCACACTAGCGTCGATCAGTCGAGAAAGCCTAAACGTAACTTCGTACTCACCGCATATATACTTACACGACATATTTTATATATATTTATATATTTTATATAATCATATATATATATATATATATATCTTCTTCGCGCTCTTTTTCTGTCTGTATAAGTTTACTTTTTAGTACGAAAATAATTTCAAGCGCAGCCCGTTTCGTCGCACTCGTCTGTCACTTGCGGCCCGGAGACGGCGTCCCGGGAATCGGTAACCACGCGCGCACCGGCTGTCTCCGGCCCGGTTGCCCACCAATAAACACTAGAACTGGAAGCCCCGTTCCTGCGACGTAAGAATCACCTTCGGATGACCGTTAGCAGCAACGACAGGAGGCTCGAAGAGACAAGGAGGATGAGCGGCAAACGGTGGGACACGCCCGGGCTCTGGACGTCTGGCTCACCCGGTGGCCTCATCGACGCCGGGCCGTAATCCTTACCGTAGTCTGGAAACAGACGAAACTACGCTGCGGTTGTTCCAGTAGAATGGGACAATTATGCGGATGTAATAAAAAGGGGCCATTCTTTTTCGAATATAATTTCTAATTCGTTTGCAAAAAGAAGAGCTACGGGGGGAAAAGAGAAAGTAGAGAGAAACACTGAAATATGAGATACGAGATATTATGTTCTTTTTTTAATCTTGATCGGACTTGGAAACAGTCAGAATACGCACGGTCATAAATCTCTAGATGTTATTTAAGCATTTATAATTAGAAATAATTTTACAAGGAATACAAACGCTGTGAATGTGTATTTTATGTATTTTAATAGTTTATAAATAAATAAATAAATAAATATTTGTGTATATGTCTACATGTATCCGAAAAAGATGTTACACATTCGAACAACTCATATCTCATATTCCTACATTTTCTTCTACTGAATTATAATTGATTTATTCATAATGAGGTCAATAATTCAATAAAGTATAAAAACACGCGAAATGTCTCTAAAGATTACATATTGTTTTCAGTAATACGTAAAACTTATAAAATTGAAGAACTGGTAAAAGGTTTTTAACGATTTTGCGTGTAATTAACGGATTTAATCGACCTAATTGCTTCTATTATATATGTCGTGATCTGCATGTCGGTCACAATATTATTTTTGTGATATATAAATACATAATATGACACAGACTATCCAACTCGTTATGCGACAAGCAGAAGATTGAACAAGAGTGAAACGCGAGCGAAATAGTGTTCAGTTAGATAGCTCATTTGATGCAAGCTGCAGATTATTTTTGCGGATTGGATAGGATAATAAGTTTATAAAAATTTGATCGATAATTTCTATATACAGTCACTTACAAACCATTTTAGAATATTCGTCACAAGAATTTCTTCAATGTATTTCGCTGCAAGCTATACGATGAAAATGGACATTTAATCAATATGCAGTAGTTAGGACGATTTTAAAACTGTCCATCAACTCCCTTCAAGTAACATGGACTATATCCCATCCAATATTATATTTACAATGAAAAGAAAACCGCTCATCAAGTTAATAATAAAATATTATCTTAATAGAAAAGACAATTACTTATTCATAATGAATATGTCACTTATATATTCGAAAAGCGAATTTTATTCGTTTTTCTTCCTAGCTAATAAATATAAGAATTTGTACCTATATTCGAAAAATTTTATTTCTCTCATAAGCGTAAATCTTGCGCAAATAATTTGGATAATATGATGTATTCCATCTAGAATTAGCCGCGATGTCTGTATGCCAGAAATATAATCGTTATATAAATAAAGGAAGGTCGAGCGCTTTGCTGACAGCAAAGGAGGCAGTGCTATTCATCGGCCGAGAAGTAATATTCTTTCGCCCCAGTCAATGGGGGTTAGCCGCAGGGCAAACGACCATCGGAATACCGTTCGCACTTTGTATCACCGACCGCGAACACCACCACCGTCGACACCCCGCGTTTCGGAACAAACTTCTTGGCTGTATTTTCACGTAACGCGGCGCTACCAGCCGTTTGCCAGCTGCGCGGCGCCCGGAACAAATAGTTGGTAGCGCTTGAGAATACGCGAAAATCGTCAAGCTCGGCGGCTCATTTCCTCAGTGGCCTCATTCTCGCAACCGAATACATGCACGTATGTTAACGAGCGGATACGGAAGATAAATACGACGAGTTGTTGCGGATAATGCGAAATGAGGGGGGACAAAGAGAGAAAAGCGAGGGGAGGGAGGAGCGGGAGAGTTAGGGAGGGAGCCGTGAGGCCCCCTCCCCCCCCCCTTTACACTCGCGCCAGGGAATTAAATTCGAGCGAACTCTCGGCTCTACCGGAATTTCTGCGATGTTCAACTCGCGCAAATCCCTTTTTAACGAGATAAAACCCTCGGCGATGAGGAGCGGCCGGGCCCCTCCTGAGAACGCGGGAAGGGTAAATTCATTTGAGATTAAATACATCCGACGTCTGTTAAATCGGCCCTTATCAGCCGTTACCATCAAAGAAACGCCGGATGAAATGTTACTGGATTAATTGCGGCGCCGCGGTAATTCGCAGATGTGTCTTGCGAGCTTTTTCATTTGTTATGTGGCGAGAAGAGCGATGAGACATGTAGTGAGATACGTAGCCAGGAGCTGCTATGCGAAGCGCGTCATGATATATCGCGCTTCCGGTGTTGAGATACGCTTAAGGTCCTTAAACTTTAATAAGGTTGTTTAAACAAATTTTTTCGCGCTCCGGTACGCGAAAGAAAGTCATCTTCAACGTGACTTCGCAAGCCAAACAATGCTCTCTTATAATATTGTTATCATAATTTAGTAATCATAATAAAAAAAGTAAAAAAAAATAAAAACTGATACACTGATACATAGAACTGTGTCGAGCGTGAATTAGCCCTTAAATAGATTTAATAGTAAAATTTATTAATAAAAAAGATAAATTTACGCGCGTTAGTCTGAAGAGTATAATATATAAACAGCTATCGGTAAATTATATAAATATCTACTATATAAAGTAGATTGAACAGGTATGCAGACATTGCAGACGTCAGAAACTTTAGAAAATGCTCCATTTTATCCGATTAAACTCACATCTACCGACGGTAACTTTTATTGATTGTCCGAACTTTGATAAATGAATTGAAGTCGAATCAACATCGCCACCTGTGGCACTAATGTATAGTCAGTAATGTTATAGAAACGAATATATCAATGACGATAGGCCATACATCAGAATGTACGATTATTGCGGCGATAAAACTTCATGACCTCGATTTACCTTAATGACTACCACCCACGGCATTATCGAATAATCTAGGGATCTACTCCCTTGTAACAAGTTGCATTTATTAACAACGGCGCTATCTGGATGAAACAAAACTTTTACCCGTTTCATTAGTTTCACTTTCAGATTGTTCCATCAAAATTGTAAAACTAGCCCATATTGACAAAATTGTTATTCTAATAGCTCCCAGCTTTAACAAACGTTAACCAATTCGTTTCTGGAAAAAAATGTATATTGTGCGTAGACTGTAATAGTTAGATATCTTATTTTATATACATATAAATTCGATGGTAAGTAAATAATTTCTGAAATAATTAAATTATTAGCATTACTTGTCTCAAAAATTTTGATGCTATACATACTTATATATATAGTTTGAACTAAAATTATTTATTTTCTAGAGAATTTCTCTTATTTCTTAACAAGATATTTAGAGCGTTTAGAATGATATTATCAAAATTTGTTCTCCGCAAAAAGTCAAAGGGTAACGACTTGAGAAAAATGTCCTTTTTTTGTGCCCTTTTTCTCAGCACTGGCAGATAGTCGTCCCAAATGCAGGGCGTTTCTCGAGAGTAGTTCATCGTGCCCCTTGGCTTGCGCGCCAGAAACGGACGTCGAAACCGCACGTCCGTTCGGAAAAAGTTATTCCCACCTACCAGTAAAATCCACTGTACGTGACTTTCCGCATGGTCGGCGACAGACGAGCCATTTTCCAACACTTTAACAACATCTTTACTGGCGCTTTAGTCTGTACATTCTCTTACCATTGATTATATTTCAGTGGCTTGGAAATCGCTTGAAGGTACACTCGAACTTCTGATTAGTTACAGTAAACGTTAAAATCGTTTGGTCGCTTATCGAAGATACGTCAGTAGCTTTTGCCAATTGATTTATAGCATAACAAAAATCATCTGCTGTACAAATTCAATTTGAATCATATTAAATATAATGGACATCTAGAACTTATGGTCTCTCATCGTTATAATTTACATGCACGATAAAATGACGTAATAAAAGTTTTCTTATTTGAATAACTTAACTTTTGTAAGAAAAAAGAACATGTTACAACCAAATTTCCATAATTATCCTTAATCAAGTGCTCTCAAAAGTTAAAATAAGCGACCTGTAAATCATTCTATAATATCTGTATATAATTTGCAATATAAATTCGTAGCTTACAAAGTGAACGTATATTATTTGCTTTTGTAACAACAGATAAGAAGCAGTCGAGCATTTTAATTGTAAGTAGCAGTCGAACAGTACAAATTATAATTGTACGCACACGAGGCAAGGCTCTTGAAGTCAATCGATTTTTAGAGAAGGGAAGGGAAAAGACATGGCGAGTGAGAAAAAAAGATAACAGAGGAGTTTGCCTCTCTCCATTTCCTCCTTTCCACTTCCTGATACCGGAGGCAGCAGACGGCCGCGGGTCAACGCAGCTCGTTTTTCATTAATTGAAAGTAAACTTCAGGAAGGGAAAGCTGGCCCGACGCGCTCCGGGGAATCTTTGAACAAAGTCATTCCAAGTGAGTTTTGAACTTGCATTCTGCCGCCAATCTCCGTCAGCTGGCTTGTATAATATAAGGATCTGTGAAGTGCTTCAAGTCGTTAACGCGCGAAGTCTACCTCTTGCAATAGAAATCGGAATCGATGAAAACACTGCGGAAAACGATTCGTGTAAACAGATTTAGACGCTAAAATTTAGTACGTGATCGTTATTTGAAAAATACATCAGATTCTTGCAACGGTAAAGCAACGACCCCCTTCTGCGTTTGTCGATGCGTTAAATGCGACTGAATATCTCGTGAAACACATCAATTGTTACTGTGGTTGAAATTTCGAAATTTAGGGATAACAAACTTATACGAAGGATTTACGCGAAATGTTTCGGACATCTTATAATCCCTTACACTTTACAGCTTAACCCTGATCAATACAAGACTATTTATAGCGGAGAACAGCACGCTATATATAGTAATTTTGTAAAGTTACAATATAATATAAACATTATAATATTTTTTTGAAGAATATTTTGTCAAAAGGAAAAAAGTGATAATTATTCAATATTTTTCAATAAAAACATTAATTAAATGTGGAATAGAAAATATCAGTCATTGTGTTTTCTCCTAATTATAATGTCAAGCAAAAATATTCGTTAGAACTTATTAATCTTACAGCCATTTTATTTACAGTGTCATTATTTACGCGTCATAGATTCGTAAAAAATGTCGCGTGATTATTGATTTCCACTCAATGAGCTTAAGCAAACAGCCAGTTAACGTATATTCTCACGTTGGATTTTACGACAGCGAAGGAATGACCGCAGAATCCTTCCCGGTCAATAAAAGGGGCCCGAGTAACGTTATACGAAGTAATTCGCTTGTGGATAAAGTGGATCACCGAGCATTGCCAATTTAGTGGATTTTCTCTCTTAGGCTCTATCTGCTACCCCTCCCCGCCCCCGCCCCCGCCCGGTCGTACATCGTTGACGAGGTTTTAATTACACTAATTACTCGAACGACATGGCGGTCGGACGGAACGTGTATCGTCGTGGGAAATGCCCGGGCTCTACGCGGAGCGTGTTAAAATAGATATTTACTGACCTTGATTTCGCCATTCCTCGACCTCGTAGTCGTAAGGTCGTTGATTTTGTTGTGATTTCTTGTTACTGTTTCTACCTAAAATGCATTACACAAAGGCGGTTTTACATTGGTGCTCTACGGTAGGCTGCTGCGAACGAGGAGTGGAAACGGATGGTTTTACTTAGGAATCGAGAAATAAAATAATAATGCCGGATTTTTTTTCTCTCTCACACAGAGGCTTCCCTCGATCCTAAGTTAAAACGTTATTCTACCTAATTCGAGAGATCCATATTAGACGCTTCCGGCGGTATAAGGTAATACTGCATTACCTTACCGCTCAATTTAGATCACACGACGGTATCTTTTCTACAGCTGTCCTACTTATCGTATATGTATATATGTAACAGATACAGACATAAACTGGAGGAACAATATCGATATTTAAATAGCTTTAGTTACCATTGTTGTGCGCCAATGTTACGTCGTACGGCTGCTGCGTCGTGGTTGTTGTCGACGGAGCTGGGATTTCTGCATTAAAGTAAATCAGTGGTATATTTTAATACTAAATTCGCGCGAGCACGTGTATAAGATTGCACTCGGGATGGTAAACATTGAGTTGAAGATGGACGCAAATATGTCAAGTATCATTACAGCGTGGAAGTTTGTTAGATTTCACGATTACTCTTCGCAAGTCCGCGATGCCGTTGTAGCCGAGGTCTACAATTGTTTTCGCGTGGGTCGTCGGTTAAACTAAACAAAACTTCCCTTTCTAGTCTACTATTAACGTTTGTCAAGAAACATTGTCAACACAGTTTTGAAGTTCCATCATGAAACCCCGCGAACTTTTGCGTCCTGTCCTCATACTTATCTACTCTGCTTTCCAGTATTATTCGAAATAGAAATTTTTACAATTTGCAAGTTTCTATATCATAACATGTTTAATAACAGTAATGTAAAATCCTTGGCGAGACAGCGCGTTTGACGGTTGCATTGTATTTAATAATTATATTCGATACAAATTTAATGAGCAATTATGATTAATGCTCCTCTCGTAAGAGAGGTATACTCAATCTCGTCTATTGCTCGTTAACGAAGACTTAAATATCTTTAAGTAACCGACTATTGGAAACCAATTATTTCACCATTAGCGCGCAGACGTCGACTTCGAATAATCGATCCCAAATAGACCACAACGTGATATCACTTTGCCTCGATACTTTTCAATACGCGATGCTAAACGTTTTCACTTAGCGAGGATATACCTTTATTGAATTTTACTTTGCTTTTCCTACTCGCGCGTATCGCATCAGATATACCGGTATCCCTATTATTATCGTTATACGACTTACCATCTAGTTTGATGACACCATCCGTTCCGCCGAGAGAATTTTGTGCGATACATTTGTACGAACCGAAATCTTTCGGGCCGACGTTCCTTATCTTCAGTATCATATACCTGTTGTAACCACTGTCGGTGGCTACCGCGTCGTACTTGTCGCCTGAAACAGAATTGCCTGTGCAAATAAAACCAGGTTCTCCGGCTTCCATTTAAAAATACGATTGTGAAATTGTGTGAGGAGAGAAATTTTATATAGTGCACATGGAAATTTTTCACTCGAGAACTTCTAATAACGATTTATTTATTTATAATTTTCATGCTTGTTCAACAAGTAGAATTTTGAAATATCGAAGAATATCAATTTTTAACTCATTATTGAAATAAAAATGATATATAATTTTTATTTGCAAAAGACCGTATTTGATTTATATTTTATAAATAAACAATGACTGAAATATTCGAAAATATTGTCAGTTTTGATATTCTTTCTTTATGTTGCATGTTTATAGTTCATAACAGATATACAGTCAAATAACAATAACATTTTTAAAAAAAGCTGAAACATTTTCTTTAAATGAATTGTGGATATTTCAAGCCGTATCAGGCATGCGATGATTGCAGGGAATGTGTGTATTCTGATTTTTAAAATTACCAGAGACTATCATGTCACCGCGTTCGGTTGTCCAATAATTTATCGAGTTCGGGTAAGCTTCGGTGTGACACTCAAGGGTAACGTCTTGTCCAATATACGCGCCTTCCAACTGATTTGGTATAGAGAGCATGGGTGGAACTGTAACATAGAAATTATATTCACCATGAATTATGTATATATACTTTCCAGTTGCTAGGAACGATGGCAATGAATAAATTTGCATTAATATAAGACAAAAGTAATTATGGGGAACGTGAAAATATTTCGGAGTTTAAATTGATTGTAACAATCAAATCGAACTAACGATATTCGTAAAGTCTTGCCGTGTTGTACGTGTTGAATAATTATGTATTTATATTTGTAAAATACAAATGCAGCACAATATTACACGTAAACCAACGGAAATAATTATCCTGCTTGAGATCGGGCAGTCTGAAGTTTGTTAAATGCTAATCGGCCAACTCATTAAAACAATGTAGAAAGCTTGTACAAATATGTATTCAGAATTCTCTTTTCCTCTCTAAGTTACAAGCCGCGTTTTTGACGTCCGAAAATTCAGTAGGACCTTGCAAAAAAGCACGGCCAGCGCGCGCGGTATTGCATAGAATTACATATATGTAGCCTCTCATCTTCGCTTTGGAGGTCGCGATGTAAAAGCAGTGTTCAAAAATAAACGATTGCATGCTGTTGCGTGCAATGTAGACTGCACTTTCATCAAGGAATTTTCTACTGGGAGAGCAAAAAAATTTGCAATATACACATAAAGAGATCCTTCTTTTCTGCGTATTTATTCTAATTTTATTCATTCTTTTAATAAGAAAGATTGTTTCGGGGAAATGTCTCTATCGATTTGTTTTAACTGCGATTATAAGTATCATTGCTATTGATCGTTTTTAAAAATATGCAAATTACATTTAAAACTTTATAATAAAAAATAAATCTATTTTATATAATCAGATTGAATTCTTTTAGAAGTAAAATTCTTTCATCGTTAAATTCTCTTGCAAGAAGTTCATGTATTTTTATAAAACTATCTGATGTTTATCACTTTACTAATCAAGTTTCGTGTTTTTTATAGCTAATTTAGTATTTTATTTTTAAAGAGACTATATACATATTTTGTATAAAAACTCAGTTGATATTGGTGCGTCGTGAATGCGCGACTGTTCTTTTCTCGATCGATATTGATATTTCGTATAGATAGAATCGTGTCATAGTTTCATCTTTTACGAACGAACGTTACTCGTAAATCGCGATTTACTAGTAGAGAGTGCACTTTCAACAGAGCTGCAGAGAACAGTTTTTCTACCCATCTCCCTTCCCAACCATCCTGCTGAGCTATCAATAAATCCGTTGACAGTAAACGAGACTACAATTTTCATTGCGTATCATTCAATACATAATTTAAAAATATAATTTTTGTTATCAAATCTTTTATCACTGTGACGAACTTAAAAATTTGATTCTCAAGACTGTTACGTTCAATATTTATAATGTAATTAATAAGTATTGAATGTAAATAATAAGTATTGAATCAAGAACATTAAAAGAGAAGTACATATTATTTTAATATCCATTTATTTGAATCATAATTTACATTGGCTTCAGATTTTAATTCCTTCAGAAATAAAGTCTTAAAAAATTATTTTCTTACATCGTTAATTGTCGCTAAAAAGAGCTCGATCTTAATACATATAAATTGTACTATAATTGCACACAATCTACGATAATAAGGGCATCTCGGCTAAAGATAAAGTCACTGAAAAAGTTGTTAGACGATGTATTTCTGTGATAAACGGCTGGTATTAATTCACGCCATGAGTTAATAATACTCGTGCGTTTATCATGCACCACGCAACGTCGGCAAATCAACATCCAGGAGAATATAGTATACAATATGCCGTATAATATCTCCGAGAAATCCGAAGAAAAAATACTATGCCGCGTGGGGCGCGTGTGAGTGGCCAAATAGTTGACGCGATTCCGTGACCCTCGTACGAAATTGCCGTTCGAGGCTCGAATCTCTCGGACAATTATTAATATTTGTGCTCGCTTACGGGAAAGTGGTCGCGCAGAAACGAGGAGCTAATGTGCCAGAAAAGACGGCGCGGGGACACGTTTCGCACCCTAAACTAAGTAGAATCCTGGAATTGCCGGTAGACGGGCGACGGTTGAAATGGCAGCGCGGGGAGGAACGGACGGTATATCGACCATATCTGGGTCAGGTAGCCGCCCATAAATCGGTGGCTAAATGAGACGTTGAAAACCGACCTAATGCATGGCGCATCGGGCGAGGATGCATCTACGGATGAAGAACAACCACTCTTCATCGAGTTGTAGCGGTATTCGTTAAATGTGATCGGTCCACTCATTCTGCTCCCCAGTAAATAAACGTATTTATCTTTTATAATTATCGATATTTCCTCTCAATTTATAATGCGATGTAAAATACTAAAATTTAAATTATACCATATTAATATGTGACTCAAATTTACGTTACAAATTTTCTATCTGCTGTACATGTGATTATTTTGCATGAACAAATACTTGTAATAAACGTTTAAAAAATATGTTTTTTAAGTCTAACAAGAGAAAATTGTCTTTAAAAATATAATTTCTATTTGATAAATAATATGTTGCAAACTGTTAATGTTTTGCCGAATAATGCATGATAGAATATGAAATATTATACAAGCTTTATTTATAATACAAGACTTGTTGTGCAGAAATTATACAGCATGCAGTTGGCGTAACGTCAAGAGATTAATAAAAACTAGTTCACAAGCAACGATATTAGCGTAGTTCATATATCAAAGAAAAGTAGTGGCTTTATTTCATTTCTAACGTTTATGAACCACGTCGAGTTCATTAAAAGTATAATATATCCGACATCGTGCTTTACTGCTTCCAGCGACTAGCATTTACCAAGTTACGCGCGCCTCGCAATCGGGGAGGTATGATAAAAACGGGTTTCTCTCCATCATCCTTTCTTATCATCTTTTCTTGTACAGAAAAATACACCGGTATCCTTACGCGACAATAGTCGCTCCTTCCCAAGTTTTATCCCGCTCTTATCATAATACCAAAGTGCATAGTATTACGATGACATCGTAGTTTTCGCTAATGGCATATAGATACACGGAGGAATCAATAGTGTATGCGGCCAAATCCAGCATTCAATAGCATGATATTGATGCAAAATCAATATAATCCATACCGAATAAATCCCTAAAAATATGTATATCCGATATTGATATTTACATTGTAAATATAGTGAAATAAACAGAATCACACGTAGATTATATGTACATATATTGTATATGTGTTTATGTGTGTGTGTGTGTATATTTATTTAATTATTTACGGAAGTTAGACAGACTTGTTTTTCCTGGATTAATAAATTAATTTTGATTGATATTAAGAGTTAACGAGAGAAAGTATTATTGTAACTTTAATTTCAAAAGTATTTAGTTATACACACATATATATATAAAATTTATTTAACACAAGTTTAATATAAAAATTATAAAAATATAAAACATTTAAGGTATAAACTCATTCACATACAGACATTTTAATTTATGTTCCATCCGACACGATCCTGCGAAGTTTCTATTGGTTCAGTTTCGAGATACTCACGCTGGAAAATAATTCCCACAAACTTTTTCAATCAGAGAAATCAATATTAAAATCGCTGCCTTTGCGAACTATTGGTTTTATCTGAATTCGTTAGGTTAATGGGCATGGACGGGCACGGATCCATCGCTTTACGAATATTTTGAAATGTTTCTCCGATCGGTATTTATAAATAAATATTAAATTGTATAAAAAATCTTTCGATATTATTCCCCCTTTTTTTTATTAGAAATTTTATTGCAGCACGCGATTCCTGCCTTTTATTAGGAACTGCATCCATTATTCATATTACGTTTACGTGTACTAAATTTCAAGGAATGTTTATGCGCGTGATGGAAATTCTTTGATAACGTGGGAAAATTAGTAACTTACATTGCACACGTAGCGAGACGCGCTTGCTCACCGATGGCGGAACGCCGTTTGAAGCTATGCATAAATAAGCTCCCATGTGAAGACGGCTTATCTTCACGATATGCAGCACTTCGCCATCCACGACATTCACTGGAACATAAAATGTTCACATATATTAGTATGTAAACTGCAAAAGCTTTAGGAAAATGCATTTAATATATACTCTTTCAATATTTTCAATTTTTATCGCGGCATAAAGTGTTTTGCAAATAAATTTCTATATGAAAATACAGGCTGTAAACTATGCTATAAAATCTATAAGCAATTAATTAATAATCGAATTTCGAATTAAACGATACTTTTTAATTAAAACGTGTTCTGCGTTGTAGATAGCAGATCGCTGAAAAATCCTCATATCATATTCTGCCCCAAAGTAATTATTGTATAACGTGTAATACAATTTGGCAAGCGCAGCTCGCCGCAGTTGTAATTCTTCTCACGAATTAATAAGCGTAGAGTGTCACGATAATATTGGCATTATTCCCGAAATGTATATGTATCGATAATGTCGACAAAGAAGGCAGCATTCATTCGGAGCGCAGGCCGCTGAAAGCCCCCGCGATGCGCATATGCGTCGAAACTTTTATTGCATGTCGTGTGACAAAGAGCACTTTGCGCCTTGCCGGAGAGCTATTTGCATCTACGCTGCATTCATTTCTGGCATGTTGGTTTGATATGACTGGCGCAGATAACATAAAGCAGATAGGAGGTAGATTAAACTCTGCAAAGGCGAATTACGCCTTGTACTCCGTCAGTCGAGAGCTACTTAGACATTAAAGACAGTCGCATACCGATAATTGCAACATTGCCATCTATTCTATGCCCGACACAGATCTCAATGGGAATAATTCTCGACGCGTGAAAACAAAGCACATACATGAATTATTGAACAATAAACGTCACTTGACAATAAATGCTCGGGATGTTTAAAAAGTCCACTTTTTCCGATCAACAGAAAAATTGAGCCCATAAATATTTATTATAGCAGCAGGGGCTTTTTCATTGTCCTATGAAAAAGTTAATGGATTGTTTTACTTTAACATTTAACGAGACGGGCATGATTCTGATTACCCTCGTAATGAATGTCATAAACGGTAATGTCGTACGCGCATTACACACGACGTATTCTTTATTTTCACTTCGAGGGTGATTACGCAGATAACGTATTGCGTGTATTGTACGCGTATCGAACGCAGGACGGTGTAAAGCAGATCGTCATATTAGCAGAGAAACTGCTGCATTTGATGGAATGATCTATGCGCTATCTCGCTGTCACCACTTAATAGATTGCACACAGCGTACACATTTTATCTGGATATAGAAATCACATATTCAACGAACGTTTAGCATATTTTGATTGCATCGACCATCGGATCATTTTCCACCACACACACATATTATACGAGTAATACGCACGTTATACCATACAATCTAAAATGCAGATGATTCACGTAACAATTTGTCAAAAAAATTGGAGCGCAGATATGGAGCTGAATTCGGTGTAATAAAATTGATCTAACCATTCCACGAAGAAATATACTCGCGAGCGCCGCTGCTATCGTTTATTATGCATCTTCGTTAGTACGTCGCTTATATTTAAAATGGAACAATTCACGCGAAGAGAGGTTGGTGTGCTTTTTCTCGTTGCCATTTAGTTTAAACTGACATTTCAAGAAAATGCAGAAGGAACGACATACACCGCGATGGAAAACCCATTTAAACTTTTTCTTGCAATAAAGTTGAAAGCGTCGTGAGACGCGAGAAACTTTACGTCCATTTGACCGAACTGCGTAGAAGCAATAAGGTGTTATAAAAATACACAAGTTATGTGTGACGCTCTTACACGTATCACGCACTTTGATCCGCGCCTAAAAATACTTGGCGCTCCTTTTCCATCCTCATATAATTTCGTTATAATTTAATTATGTCATTTTATATAACGTAACATACTATAACACAAGAATTGGTGTTTTTTTAAAACAGAATATACGAATAACATTCGCAATATCAAACGTACAAAATATCCGCGCTCTTATATTAACGTGTAGTTATCATCTTTACACATTTATGCGTTTCCACGCGTTTCAATTACAAAACTCGCGTCGGGCGAAATAAAAATTCCAGGTTTATTAAATTTCACCGCTCACATCACAGCTGAAGATTTCGCTGTTGAAAGGGAAACGTAACATACATATACACACGTGATGCAGCGATGAAAGCGGTGAAAGGGATAAAGTTGTTACCCCCGGCCGGCAGTAGGATGCCGAGAGAGGGTGCGCTGAATCCTTGGTAGCCAACCTCGGTGCTACAAGCTGCGCGGCAAACCTATCTATTGTTCCATAAACAATGCAGAGTGCCGGGAGATTCTGCCCGGCGGGTCGCACTTTCAGGGGGTTTTAATCAAGTAGTCCCGCAGGCCTTGTGTCGGAACTACTCGCTTACCGGTTTAGCGGAAACCTTTAAAACTTTCGGCTTAATGGGAAACCGCAATATGGCCCGGCCGGGCGGAATTTCACGGCGGACGCGTCGCGGCCAGGCGCGAACAAAGAGAACGCGGGGACAATTATTATTTTCGGGGCACGGCAAAATTTTATCGTTCCTCCGCCCGCGCCGTGTCGGTGCGATCGAAGTGACTCAATTTAACCGCGGCGATCTGATTATTTCACGGTAGGTCGGCGATCGATGCCAGTTAAGATTAGACTATATACGCTATTATCATATCGCGTGAGCTCACGCGTCGTCATGTCACATTACATTATGAATAACGCCATTAATGAAGTTATCGCCGGCTTGTGAGTCTCTTCTGATTATTTTCATACCTTCTGTTCTATATTCACGGATTTTTGCATTTTCCATGTTCTTCTCTGTATATGTGTGTTATGCATCTGTATATATATGTTCATAACCAGCAATTCCACTTTGTCCAAACGAACAAAATGAGAATGAAATGTATAAAATATGTAAAGATATGGCGAGAAAAAAAAACGAAATAAATTAAAATGAGCACTTCATCGCTAGCAAGAATAAAACATTTGTCTATTAACGTTTATATAATGTAGGATGCAATGAGAGAGAGAGAGAGAGAGAGAGAGAGAGATGTCTGCCGCGCAAAGATATGTACATATTACGTGAATATTACGTTCATATATTAAAGTTATAGACATGTACTTGATGTTACGTGTCTATAATTCTATACGTGATATTGCCTACGTCGACCTAGAAAGATCAGCGCACGAGCCATAACGTTATTAAACTTCGGCAAAATTGGCTCCCAATCGTCGGACTTGATAAAGTTTCGCGTTGCGCGCGTATCGGCGAAAATGTTTTGAAATTTTCACGGGACATTACGCGTCTGCGAATGACGTTGAAATCTTTCGTGGCTCATCCGCCGTAGTTTTAAATGTGCGAAAAATGTGCGTAGAGAGAAACGCCGCGCGCGCACGGAAGTACCACGAAATAAATTAGCGTCCATTCACGTTCGATGCCGGGGCGTGCTTTGCATAACGCTTTTCCCGCGGCGTATTCTCGGCGGCGTAAAAATAAGTGAACAGCTTACTCGAAGACGAAGTGGAGGGTTGGCCACCTATTTGGGAATTAGTACGTGATGTATTCCGGCCCATAAGCGAAGGATGGGCCGCAGATATTTCATCCCATCCCCCTTTCTCGTAGCCTTAAGTGCCCTTTTTCGCGTTATAACCGTGAGATAACCCAGGTACATTCATTCCCGGGCGAAATCCTCGGCCAACGATTATTGCTGCTAATGTATTCGCGAATGTTAGACCAGACGTACGTAAGTGATTCTTACGTATTTATCGCACCGGCCGCAAAAATATTTTTCACAGACGCGTTAATAGCGACGACTATGACAAACGGCGCAATTATACGAATTGTATAAAATATTGAAAGAGCAAGCGCGCGTGATGTGTTCGATATTTTTATCTTTCAAATCTACGTCTCTCTCGTGTATTCTGATAAAATAATTAAAGTAAAATATATTTTTTATCCTATCTGATTCGCTTTTTTTTCGTGTAAAAAAAAATGAAAAAGAAAGCTCACTCCATTTAAATACCTGGAATTTCCAATATACAAACGCGAACACTTGAATAACTCACATGTTAACGGTCTACGTACATATATATAGCATACACACATGCGATATGCCGAATGGTATGTGTGGGAACTAAAAATATTTGGTCACATTTTCCATTTAACTATTTGTATAAGCTTTTATGCGCAAAAAGACACAAATGTTCACAGATTCCAGACAAATTGCGTGAATACTTGCGACAAAACGTGCACGGTGAGAAATGAAATGAAATGAAATGAAATGAAATCGCCTCGTTACTACGGTACGGACTCAGGGAAACATCAACGATCGATTGTCATGGACGCTTGACGTCACGAGGTTTGAAAGACAAATTACGTTTGCAGTGCAGCATTGCGTAAAGCGGATGAAAGACGGGGCTATTATATTCCAGTTTCCCAGCGAGAAATTTCTCAGATAATATTGACTCCATGCTGAACGCTGACTTTACCAGCGGTTTGGAAGGCACAAAGGAACCTCAAACGGTAACGAGAAAACGTAACGTGCCTCTTCACCGCAAGCATTGGCGTACCACAGACATCGGGGCGTTCGATACCGGTTCGAGCCCGGGTTATGTGTACGTGTGTTCTCCGCCTGGCATAGAACTGGGCGAGCGCGAAATGAGTGCGAGGGTATAGCCCGACTTTGCGCCGTGCTTTATACCCGATGCACATCGGCTCCTATTCTCCCGTACGCTCGTCTCCCTGGCACACCGGCGCTGGAAACTCAGCTCGTTGTCGGTTTCGATTTTCCAGTCGCGTCGCGTTATGTCGGCCTCGCGTCGACAAGCCGTGGTCGCATTAACGGGGAAGGTCTTGCCAGGACTCGTGAGAGTATCGGTGACGGAAATACTCGCGGTGGTGTATGTGTCTCTCCCGCTTTCTCCCTATCTACCTTCGCTTCTTGCTAGATATAAACAGGTGGGCGAGGGGGAGGCGTACGCGCGCGTCCATGACTTCACATGTATGTACATTTAACGGTCGGTGAACAGTACATATGTGCCAAGGATTCGTGTGTACACACATAATCACGGGCGCGCAGCTACATTGATCCGCGATAATCGTGTAGGTGTGTACGGTCGAGTGGATGGTTTGCACGGTATATACACGTCTGTTACACATACGCGCCCGAATGAGTTTAGGAGTCGTACTCGTATCAAGAGAGCGACAGAAAGCGAGCGAGCGAGAGAGAGAGAAGGCTCGGGTCTGTGTGTCTGTCCACCCTAGCTAGTGCTGATGGGAATGGAGAAGTGCAACACGGACACGATGGACAGCGAATCAGGCGATACATCTCAAAAAGGTGGAAGAAACCAATCACGTTTCCCGGGCACGAAGCGCGCGAAACGGGCATTGACCAATGTCGACGTGTATGCGTTTCCATAACTATGGAGGCAAGGTGGATTTTCGCCCGGTGCGCGCAGGTGGAACGCCTGGTATCAGGGGTTACCGAACGCGAAATATCCCTCTGGCTTTCGGTCGTTGCATCCAGTTTCCAATTCACCCTCAGCTCCCGGTCACGATATGTCCGTGAACGTCGCCGAATTGCAGCGCGTTATCGCTCTTATGAACGATCGTATTAAAGGCGCAAGGCGACGGCGGCGCGACGATTCGTTTCCGCCGTCTTCGTCGTTTATTTGCCCCTCATGGCCTTCCCACCCTCGCGCACTCCGCACGGCGCTCTAATTTCCCGCCCGCGCCTTCCTTTTATCTTTTCCCTCGTGTTCTCGCCATCGCCCTTCCGCACGATCAGTTCCGGTACCTGTCCGCCAGAGGTAAATCTCCCTTGTACCTGCAGGTGCCTCGCACCATCACCACCACCACCACCACCACGTTCAGCGTGGCGGCGCCACCTCGACGCGCGATAGTTTTGCTAAATTCGATTTGCTTTCTCATCTCTCTCAGCCATTCTTTTTCGGTTACTCGCCCCCGAGGTGGGTGAAAGGGCAGACTGCGCGCGGATGGGGTATATACCTCCGGCGCGAGAAGAAGCAAGAAAAGCCGACAACCATCTATACTTTCTCGGAGGGTTGGTGGGTGTCTGGAGGCTATCAGGCGGGAAGTAATGGCGTTAGCCCGTCCCTCGTGCCCCAGAGGCCAACACATCAGTTAGTAACGCGGTCGTACGGCTCGAACGCGGGCCATATTCACCATCGCGATATTTCGTCCAATTACTGGATAATCTGACGCTTCTCTCGAATGACGAATCGCCGGCTCGCCGGAAACGTCTCTGAACATCGATTGATATCGATATCGACGTTACGGCAAATTTTACAGATCCTTAATTGTAGACGGAATAACAGCGAGTATTTAAAGAATATTAACGAAATCAAAAGATAATTTAATTTTTAATATTATTGTGAAAACTTTATCCTTTTTATATCTAATTTTACAATAATCAAGTATGCCATGATAAATAATTTAAAAAAACATGTTAGATTTTATTAACAACTGCTCGAGTCTGTAGTCCCAGAAAATTATTTAATGAATCGCGAAATAGAATTATCTTTAAAGATTTAACAAAAATATCAGGGAAAAATTTTCAACGAGAGCTTAGAACACGATATTGCTTTCATTCTCTGCCAACTACTGAATTTTTTAACGAAAACCAAATTCTGAATTTTTAAAGAGAAAATAAAAGAATAAAAAAAATATATATAAATGGACATTTTTGCAGAAGAAACATTTTATGTAAATGGATGAAATATGTATAATGGCTCGATATAAATAAAATATTCATAGCTTCTAAAAGGTGTTAAACCCCTCAACGCTCATGTGCTATGCGCGAACATAAAAGTTTATTTCCTCTTTACACAGTAACGTTACGAAATGTCATCTTATAACTCCAGCTATCATTTTAAGTTCTTTCCAACGTATATTTTCAAGGCAATAAATATTTATTATAGGTACGGTATCTCTCTTCCACTTTAAAATGACACGTATAATTAATACAACACACTCACGTCCGTTAACAATATTTTTCTCCTCTGCATTATCGAATTTTTCCGGTACGCTCAATGACTATCTTCCATTTACGATGAAATTAGGTTGCATTTTCAAATGCATTATACAATAATGCCCGAACAACGCGCGAAAAGAGACGGAATTTTTTGCGATGCAACGCTCATTTGCATTTGCGTATTAATAAACGATATTTAGATACACACTAGCTTTTATCAAAACTAGCAATTATTATTACTCACAAAATTAATTTAGCCACAAACAAATTTAATGTTGTTTTAAAACCTTATAAAATACAATTTCATAATATTAATTTTTCAATAATTACATTTTTAATAATATTAAAACAATAGTACGTCCATGCGATTGTAGGTACCTTATCTTTAAATAAAAAAATTATAAATATTTATTGACAACTCCATCCTAATTTGATTTTAATATAAGGACTTTCCAATTTATTTGTCTTACACTGGCACACAATGAATCGCGTATAACTTCGGCGGCGGATAATCAGTAAATCACGCTACGTAATCGACTATTTTTCCATATCAGGACGCGCGACATCCATATTTATCAGTATCAGTTTATACGGCCGGCTTAGTATGGAGTAGTGGTTTACGATCTGACGATCCTGTGAGCGTCGGCACTCGGCGTATGCCTGGAAGGCAATGAAAATTTAAATTAGCGCGCAGAAATTAAATCCGACCTTTATCCTTTATTGAGGAAACCCTCTGGAATCTACAGACGGTTTGACGTCTCGCCTTTCCGTGCATTTCCACCCACTGCCCCCTCCCCGACCGACAGACTGGCTTGTACTTTTTGGTCGTGTCATAATTAGTAATTAAGAGGGTAATTAGCATCGATCGAGACGGGTTCAAGGAAGTAGACGTGTTCTTATATATCGTATGGTTATTTTCATCATGTTGGAATGACAAGGATGCCACAGCTGCGCTATCATCGATCCATTATTTATATCGAAGTCTGATAATTGTCAATCTTCCATAGCGGATACTAACATAATTCAATAAATTCTTAACTTATTTTTTTACTAATTGTAAGTACATCATAACTAGTCTAAATTAAGAATAATCTCTTTTGTGATCTTAAAATGGTTATACATATATTTATAGGACTGTTGAGTATATAAATCTCGGCTATCGCTACAAGTGCCTACGTACTGTTGATTCACAAAAATAGAATAAGAACAAAACATTTTGAGACACTCCATGTGAAATAACAGAGTTTAGCATGGAGGCTTGTCGCGTAAAATTGAAGAAATTGTACAGAGGGCATACCCACATCTCTATACAGGATGTATCTTAAATAGAGCCTATTAATTAAATAGCATTTTTCTTTATAAAAACTGAGTCGAAAAGTAATTTTTCTTTATAGTGCTAAATAAAGCAATCACTACGGCAGTAATTACTACTACATTGTACTGAGTATTGTAGACAAATTAGTTCTTAAATAATACTAATTATGTAGCGCTATTCCTTGTAAAAAATTGAATCGAAAAGTCCTGAAAAATTTTTTTCTCTAAAATGCTCAATAAAGCAGTAATTGCAGTGATGATTGTTTCATTGAGTATTGTAGAAAAAAATCGTTCAGGACTTTTCGACTTGTCAGTCTTTTTACAAAGAATAACGCTATATAATTAGTGAGCGCTATTTGAGTTACACCCTGTATATAGACCCCAACTCCGAATTAGCTGTGAACTGCAACTGCACTTTTGGACACATTACAGTACAGTTTGGCGATATGCAGTGGCTGTACCGCGCACCTGAATAATTGCGTTCTGGCCGTGGCTTACTCGACCGAATTTTGATGTTGGACTAGGAGAGGAATAATTAATCGTTAAAGCACAGCATCCGTTAGTGGGATGGATGATACTGGCTTAGAGATGTAGCTGTCTGTATCATTATATTTTCCCACGTAAATCGTATTATTCGTATAATGAGAAAGAAAAGTATGAAGAGTGATTATATCTAAAAATGAATTTAATTACTGATAATCGCTGATGAAAACATGTAGTACTGTTCGATATCGGAAAATTAATAAAATGTTCCACATTATACATTTGTGATACATTTAATTATCGTGATATTATCAGTAATGGCTACGCGTGTTGTATTACTTTCGAGAGCTTCATTGTGTCTATTACTATATATATATATATATATATATATATATATATATATATATTTACGAAAACGTAAAGTATAATTTTAAGATTAATATTAATCATATTTAAATCTCTAGATTAAATTTTTAAATTCTGCGTAAAATTTTATCTTACTTAAAATGTCTCAATTAGATATCAGAATATCGGGAAACTATGTGCTCCACTTATAAATTGATTGAAATTAAATAGACCATCTTCAAATATTTTAAATTTAGCACTCAGTAAAATTCAATACTTCAAACAAGTCGTCATTGATCGTAAATTAAACTTTCTAATTAATTCGCAAATATAACTCATATTTAAAATATGATCAATCTAGAAATGTCCACTTTAGGGATAACTAATTTAGTGTCATTTATCATTTCCATGCGATATGTGTGTTATCGATTGGCACATCTCTCGGCAACATTACGAAAGTTACAACCATCCTATCTGGCGTTAAAATATGAATATCATCGTCTCTACTCAATTGTCTATTCGTGAAAATCATGTCGAATTAATTGCGACTCACCACTCTCGCCATTATAATTTATGTTCTGCCCGTCCTCCCGTCGCCACATGACGTAAGGCTCCGGATATCCGGTCGCTTTGCACGTCAACGTTACATTGGAAGCCTCGCGGACCACCATGTCGGTGCTAGTCTCTTTGGTAATAATCGACGGAGGTACTGTAACACAAATGTTAGTAAAATTTTACTTTCATGATGATTACGTTTACGCGAATTTGAAATCTTTATACGCTTATAAACACACAGGTACACACACACACACATATACACACACATGTATTCGAGTTATTGAATAATATGTTGTAGAAAGACAATTTTCTGGAAGAGATTACGATGTACAAATAATTCCAATCTAAATATAAATAAAAAGTATATGCATTTTCGAAGAAATTTTATAAATTTGTAATACACTGCTTACCTACAACTTGTACGTAACCCTGACGACTCTTCATTGGATCCGTATTCACCTGGCACATGTACCACCCGCGATCAACTTCTTGAACTTCCTTTATATGAAGATACCACGAGCGGTGATCATTGTACGATAACGTGATTCGGGGATTCTGAGTAATTACGTTCTGATGAATCGACAGTATAGTTTGCGTGTCGACGCGCACCCATGCCACCTGAAACAAACAATAAAACATATTTCTCTTAAACCCATCAACTTTATAAGCTTTGTTTAATTACCGAAACATTGATTTATATGTATATCAATATTTTCTATCCATATTCTATTTAATTGTGGCAACAAAACATAAAATTAATTGCATAATACTGAATAATAGACATTTATTTAATTATAAATTAAACTAATTATATTTGAAATATAATTAATCTAAATATATTTTGAATTAAAAAGTGTATTTACATATATATATATTTCTCTTTTTTTAAAAAAAGTTAAACATTATGTTATAGATCTTCGGTTAAAGTGTTTTTTCTATGGATCTCGAGGCGCACGTAACATACGATATATCCTTCTTACTTGCGATAAATTCAAATATACATTCTAGCGAATTTATATGTTTTATTAAAAAAAAATATCGTTTTCGTTTCCTTCTTTTATTGAATTCAATAATCGCGAGTAAGGTTGTACTCTCCATCCTTTACAGAGATCTCGAGAAAATGACGGAGGCTTAGAAACTTATACTCACTCTTCCTACTACCTACTACCGCCTGTCTCTCTCACACACTTTCGTCGTTGAATTTTCGATACGGGCAAGAGGTTTCTTGAGCATGCAAAACATGCCCGAAGTCTCGCGAATTCTACAGCAGTATAATTTCCACCGCAAGCGCAACTCAAGTATGTTTCGTGTTTCCAGTGGTACACAACTGGAGAGTATCGCTCGTAGAAAAGATCAGCTCACTCGCGAATATTTTAGCTCTCACCCACTGTATGTACTCGTATATGTGTTTATACATGTAAGCGCGAGACTACGCTACGCGTTGTACGCGTAGAACGTACGTTCATACGTTCATACCCGAACGATGTTTCATAGTATTCGTTACAATATTGCTTTAATAACTCATCTTGACACAACTCTTGACGCATTCTCATCGACGTAACAGATGAAAGTTTATCCAAAACTTGACATTGTTGCGTTAACAACTGCAGGAAAACGGGGAATTGAATTGTACTTATATATAGAAAAAAATTAAGTAATCTCTTTAAAACTAAATCTAACTATTATAAATGGAACTTAAAATACTTTAGAAATTTTCATATCTTAAAATATAAATGTTTTTTTTATACAAACGAAGCTAAATGCCACTTCCGCCTTTTAAAGCAATTTAAAAGAAAGAGCAAGCATAAAAAACATTTACAAAATTCATATAAAAAGATTTTCATTCAGATTTTTATATACATATTAATAATTTTAAAACCAACACTCTCACTCTACTACGTAGATTAAAACTTACATTATCATATTGTAATTAGCTGTTTTTAGAAAAAAAAAAAAAAATTAATATGCATTCCTGATATGAAAACTTACAAACTCAAAATTTCTCAACTATAACATAGAGAAGCATTTGACGCGTTTCTATATAAAGTCTTTCGATTAAAAAGATGAATGATATAGTAGAATCGAAATGCTGTTGGAAGAAAATTTTTGAATGCGAAATATGCTTTCTCCCCGGAATGCGCAGCGAATACCGAGTGTACGAAAGCTCGTCGAACGACGAGAACATAAATCTTTCATCTCTCATTAAATTTTCAAAAGACGGGTGGCGGATACCTTGCAGATTATATTACATGTACCGAGGCACATTCCTGAAATACGTTTAAAGGAAACGTATGAATTTAATTTACTCGCGCTTAACAAGATGTACTAAAATCCGTGACGAGTGGAGAGTTAGCTCGCGATACGGAATAATTTATAAGGCTCTACTCGGTACTGATCGTCATCCCCCGGCGAAAGAAGAAACGTATTATTAGCTTATGCCGAGCTGCATTATTTCTGGTAAATGTTGTCGCTATACCCGGCAAAATGAATTGTATCCTATTGTTACGTCATCTCAATTAACTGAAGGAAAATGAAGCAATTATGCGAGGTCTTTGATAACGGTACGTAAACTAGGACCGTCCAATTCGCAGTCTACGGACCATAAACGCCGTAGGGATTTCAGTAGATACTATCTTCATTTAATTTGTGCAAGCGCTTCTTGCACGGAGAGGCAAGAAAAGTTCGAATCTTGCTTAATAGCAATTTGCTATGTTGAAAACGTTTCTTTAAGCTCACTTTAGACAATCTATAATTCGCGTCAGAATTCAGAATAGCATTCCAGTTATAATTTTAGTACGTGTCACGTAATACGAGAAACTATTGAAGAATTAGATTGTACACTCGCTCACTAAAAGGTTGTGACACTTTTTTTTTATAGGTTTCTAATTTATATTTAATATACGTAATATATACTTTATAGGTAACTAATATTTTGCAAATGCAAACCACAATGTAC